AAACACAATTTAATAAACAAAGAGATCACAGCATAATTTCGCAAAAACGTCCGTCAATCACCGCACGCGGCACGCCATGGATCACGATCACCAACGATCTCAAGTTTCCCATAACCAAAAAGCGGACCGGATGAATCTATGCGGGTAAACGAGAAAATCTAATTTTGGGAGGGTTGAGAGAGATTTTACCTGAGGAAGAAGCTGGCATTGCTCAACAGACAAGACTGAGAGGAGAGAGATATATGGAAGGGTTTGAGAAATTTGTGGGGTCTCTGTGATGGGGTGAGGTGGAGAGCAGAGATTGTTTGTGGTGCGTGAAGTGCGTGCGCAGTGCGTGAGAGAGAAAGGGGGAAAAATTTTGGGGATTTTGTCCTTAAATGTTTTTTCTTCTCTCTACAGTTTCTCCTAGTGCAGTAGGAGGTGGAGCAGCTTTCTATTTTCAGGGGAAATGTATTTAATTAATAATTTATTATTTACAGCTGGTTATGGGACCTTATTGTTCGATGAAATTAATTGGAGTTGGGCGATATTGCATCTTTGGTCCCTGTTATTCGCTGATACTAATTTTACTCCATGTATTCTCATTTCACTCCTCCTTCTTTTAGTTTTTACTAGAAATAGACCTGTTTCGTCCAACAAATCTATATATATAATGGTGGTGGGTTATTCAATTAATGCAATTTTGTTATAAAACTAAAGAGAAAGAGAGAGAATAGAGAAAATGTATTCTCTTAGGTGTGTTTTTCATTATAACTGAAGCTCCTATTTATAGGAAACTCCTGATGGCACAATTTGTAATAATACAAATACATCGAGGGCAAAATAGTCATTCACATACATTATTTTATTATTTCATAACACTCCCCCTTGAATGACTATTTTCTAAACATATTTTAACTGATTTGAACAAAGCACAATCTGCACATCTTCAAGTGTATCTTGTGGCCATCAGGTACTGTTGCTTCAGCACGTCAGGAAAACCCGGTAGGACAAAACCTGATCATCTTGAAATCATAACATTGTTTCTTCAGGGAAACCCAGTGGGACAAAACCTGAGCATTGTGGAAGCACAACATAGCTCCCCCTCAAATAGATCATCTTTAGTGAAATATCCATGTGCTGCCTCGTTAAAACCTTGTCAAGAAAACCCAGTGGGAAAAAACTTGATCGAAGGAAAAAGAGTACAGCTACTCCAGTATCTCTTATCATCGTGAAGAATCATATCATTTATCCAGTAGTCCTCATCATACCATGAATATGCCTCGTTAAAACCTTATTAGGAAAAACCCAGTGGGACAAAATCCTAATGAAGGAAAAAGAGTACACTATTCATGTCAATACGCCATCCTTGTTGCCTCATTAAAACCTTGCTAGGAAAACCCAATGGGACAAAACCTCAGCCAAGGGAAAAAGAGTACAACGCGTATTGCATATATTCACCATAATAATATTTCCATAATTTGCATGAGTATCATATAAATTCTTTCGGATTTGTAGATACTGATGGTATTCACGACAATATGTCATATCATGCTTTGTGCAATTTTTATCCTTAAACTCATTCTCATCATCAATTGATTTCAATGGTCTTATTGCCAATAATTCCCAATATTCACATTTCAGCTGATTTCATTTTCGACAATATTATTTATATAGCGCTATTCATTTGTTTATGTCGACACTTATTCATTTCCATTATACCCCGTAATATATTGAGATATCTCACTATCAATTGATTTCATCAATATATATGCCTCCTTTCATCACTTATTTGGGGGATTTCAATTTGCACAATATCAACGCTTCCAGCGTATTATTCCACCAACATATCATTTCATATATTTCACATCATCAGTATCATACAGTTTCTGATTCGCACACTCTCAGTGTGATGCATATATCATTTCCAAATTTCAATCATTGATTCTCCCCCTCATCTTAACAGATCCCTGATCTGTATTTTTAGTATTGAATTTCTTGAGGGGAGTTCATATAGTCTCTATTTTGTTCTCGATTTCAACGTATATTTGGAGGACTTTGAACTCATATCATTTGTAGTGTGCACATTTTTCTTTCAAGAGCTCATCATATTAGGTGAGTATATTACTAGCTTCATCACTTTCATATGACACTTATTTTCATTCTTTCATAATCATCTTGTGTCATCTTTAGATCAAACCATCTCGTAACTTCAGGTTATATGTCATATACACATTCTTTGATCAAATCATCTCGTAACTTCAGGTTACGAATCACACACATGTGGCTATCTAGTGGATCCATAATATCTAGTAGCACACATGGAGGGGTAGTGGGCCCATATATATCGTACCCCTTTCATACTCAGATTGATCATATATCGATTCACAAATATTTAGCTAGTAATATTTTTCACTAATCGGGAACAAGCATCTCATATCACAAAGAATAAGTTCATCATGCAAACCATCATCAATAATATCGGTAAGCATTTTTAAAGTGATCACAATAATTCGTTGTGACATGTTTATCACAAACATTTCACATCATCTTTCGGCGGCAATAAATGCACTTTAAGTGTGTGCTCTGGCAAAATGTCTTTTAGCCACTGTTTAAATCCAGAATCGTGTCATGCCGTCTGACACACATACTTTTGAACACTGTTTAAGCCCAGAGTCGTATCGCATACGCATCATGTTTTTCTATAAATTATCAGGTAATTCATTCAATTTTCTTTAACAAAGGTCCGAATTTACAAATGGATTTAGCACTCTCAAATATCCGTAAATATTATCTTTTCTTCCGAAAAATATCATAAAAAGGATTTATCGATCTCGATTAGAAAGATTGAGGATGCTAATGAATAATGGTATTCCAAATGATGTTAGATGGTTGATCGAAGCACAAGTTCGATTGTCTGGAGAGTTTCCAAATTCATATAAATATATGCCAGGTATGGGTAAAAGTACTTATGCAAAGAAACGAAGAGCAAAAAGGTTAGGTGGATGCTTCAAATGCGCTCGATGGACTTGTGACACACGATGTATATCTGTGGGGTACGTGTCCAAAAATCGAGAAGATAAAATAACGTTTATAAAGGATGGATTGAGTAAGGAGTCTTTGGATCAAACGATTCAACAGATTCTTGAGACACATCCTAGTGGATACGTGCATCGTGAGCTTATGTCTTTATGGATTCAGTTCAAAAATGAAGAAGAACGTTATAGTCTCGAAAATATTATTTCAAAAGATCAAGTTTGTAAAACTGGTCTTGTTAGTACGAAAAATCATACTAATACAGTTTAGTATGTTGTACTGTAATTTTCTAGAAAAACTTATAGTTGCCGACAGATAAGATTTATTTAAAACCCAACACCTTATCTGTCAGTTGCAATTGTCAGAAGAAAACAGTAAAATTATTTATTGTTTTGTAAAACTTTCTATTTAAATAGCGAGTCGTTCATCATAATCATATGCCTCACAAAGTTTTGAAAAATTCAGTTTATCAATAAATAGATGGATGTTTCAGAGTCTTCGCAAGGTAATAATCTTCTTCAACCGATCAAAACCATATGTGTTCTTGGTGGTTCTAAACTGGTAAGTTTTTCTCAAACTATTGATATTGTAAGTCAGTTAGTCAAAGAGATGGGGAATCAAAAAATCAATTTGCTGTATGGAGGGACTAGCAATACTTTCTATGATAGTCTCTTAATGGCTGGACAATGTTTTGAGATAGAAGTGAAAAGTATCATACCTTTTCGTAGAGCTTCAACAAAGGTCGTCAAGGATTCCACAAGCATGATGTTAACTCATTCCATTCATGATTGTATGATGAATATGGTGAATAATAGTGACGCTTTTATCATTCTTCCAGGAGGGTATGGGACGCTAATGACAATGTTCACCATTGCTTTATGGGCAGAATTGAAACTTCATAACAAGCCCATAGGTCTATTGAACTTTAATAACTTCTTTCATGGTTTGCTTGGATTTTTAGACATAGGAGTATATCAAACCTTTATATCTCCTTCAATGAGAGAAGTATTCAAATCTGCTGACACGTCTGCTGAACTTATCAAAAAACTTCAAGAATGCATCACATTTTAAGATTCTGTGGAAACACAAGGGGTCAAGCGAAAAAGAGCTTTTGATCCTTTAGATCTCTCATTATGAACCCAGATATCATTCATGGGTGGCAGAGTTACGGAGTTTTACACTCTCGAGACGCACCCTTCTTTTATGGGTTCTATTATGTAATCTTTGCGTATTTTGTATTCATCGAGTATTTACTGCCTCTTTTCCATATTTCCACCATCTGAACATTTTGTACTTGTTTCTCAGTAATAATAATATCAATTTCGATTTTTCTCAGTGTATAGTAGTTCATGACTACAATCATTATCATTTGTGCTTCTTCCGGAGCACTTTATTGTAATATCTATATGATCTCGTATCCCAATGTGATCTCGTCATCTGATATAGCCCTTTAGACTTATATAATATATTGAGAAATCATTTTTGTGTGATCACCCGTAGCTGGTAGCTTTTGATACCACTTTCTCATTTTGTTCAATCATCCAATGGTAGCTTCTAGTACCATTTCATCACTTTGTTTAATCATAAAGTGGTAGCATCCAGTACTACTATACCATGGTATCATTTAATCATTATGCCATAACTTCCGACATCACATTAATCATGTGGTAACTTATAGTACCATCTTATCAATATTCATATCTCCATAAATTTGGAGAATTTATCAACTGATACTTCAGGACCATGTTAGTCCATATAATGTCTGTTCATTAACTTTCACATGGTCAGATATAAAGTATCATTAATTTCACTCATTGGCTATCACTTAATTTGTACTGCCCATCGCCAGCGGCAGTGCCGCACTGGCCGACCCATGTATATGTATAGCCACTCATTTGTTGCACGTGGCGTTGCCACCTGGCCATTCTATATCACCGGTTAATATACTGACTGATCCATTTAGCCGTTCAACATTATCTGTTGCTGGTGGCTGCAACACTTGGCCATTTCATATGATCGGTCATATTTCTTTATAATATTTTGATCAATAATTGACCCGTTGGTTACCATTAAATATTACTTGCCGGCGGCAGAGCCGCACTGGCTGATCCATATAGCCACACATATTTCTTTTCATATCACAAGGGTCAATATATAAATATCCACATGCTCATGTACCAAATATTAATATAGCCAATCCATAAATATGCATATGTTCATGTATCAAATAATTTTCACAATAACAAAATTTAAACATTTCATAACCATAATATATTTGATGTACGATAATAAACCATATTAATATTGATTTTAAAATGAAGCTCTAATTAAATCGGGCATCATGAATTATGTTATATTGATTTTTCATGATTTGTTTGACATAAAATGTCCATACTCCATTGTTTTGTTTGTGCGTATGTGTAGT